GGAGAGATAGAGCAGAGAGCAAAGGGACCCCTTGAGAGACCAAACACTTTGCTGGATTTGCAAGGTATTTGCTGCCTTCAATACTCATCTAACTTTGGTAAGGGCCATGGGAAAGCATATACACAACTCTTAAGCTGTTTAGTCGCTCGTGTAATCTGCTTGGGGCTTCAGGTTAAGAATCTTTCCCTGCATTAGAAGGATAAATTGACCTTTTTTCTCTATAATCTTTTGAAGCACAATCCTCTGACAAATAGCAATTTGGGGAAGGCATTCTGCAATTCACTGAGAGGGCATGAAAGTGACCAGAAAATAGGCATCTTGGTCCTCATCTGCTTTGCTGTGGTATATAATAGAAAGACAGTTGAATATGCAAGGTGTTCCAGGACTGGGCCTTGTTCCTGGCTCCATTATTAACCTTATTTGCAGTCTTAAATAAGTCACTTAATTTCTCTGTGATAAATTTGTCAAAAGAGCTTAATGATACTGGCATATGGACTAAGCTCTATTTAAAATAGTATGAAGTGCTGCGACATGTAAGTTAATGCTAGTGGCTCAGTGCGACTGGAGACTGAACCAAGTCTTCCAACCAAGTGTCTCAGTGGATTGGATCGTAACCTGGACCTCACACCCTGAAGCCTTTGGGGATGTAAGTTTCAATTCTCAAATAAATGTCATCAGTTAACAATTCCTAGCTATCACTTGGGCCTTTTCTCTGTCAAATATCATTTTTGACTCTGAGGTTCCATCTCTCTGTACAGGCGATACCGGTTAGGGAGAGCTGCCCTGTGTTTCCCAGTGTCCCTGCTCACAGGATCAATGTCCCCACTGCAGCAGGGGGCTGTGTGGTTCACTCTCCTTTCCAGTTATCTAGAGCCCGTAACTAAATAACGTCAGTGTGTGTGTGTGTGTGTGATTGTATGCACGTGTGTGTGTGTGTGATGGTATGCATGGGTGTGTGTGTGTGTGATGGTATGCATGAGTGTGTGTGATGGTATGCATGGGTGTGTGTGTGTGTGTGATGGTATGCATGGGTGTGTGTGTGTATGATGGTATGCATGGGTGTGTGTGTGTGATGGTATGCATGGGTGTGTGTGTGTATGATGGTATGCATGTGTGTGTGTGATGGAATGCATGTGTGTGTGTGTGATTATATGCATGGGTGTATGTGTGTGTATGTGTGATTGTATGCATTGGTGTGTGTGTGTAATGGTATGCATGGGTGTGTGTGTGTGATGGTAAGCATGGGTGTGTGTGTGTGTGATGGTATGCATGGGTGTGTGATGGTATGCATTTGTGTGTGTGTGATTGTATGCATGGGTGTATGTGTGTGTATGTGTGATTGTATGCATGGGTGTGTGTAATGGTATGTGTGTGTGTGTGATGGTATGCATGGGTGTGTGTGTGATGGTATGCATGAGTGTGTGTGTGTGATGGTATGCATGGGTGTGTCTGTGTGATGGTATGCACGAGTGTGTGTGTGTGATGGTATGCATGGGTGTGTGTGTGTGATGGTATACATGGGGGGTGTGTGTGTGATGGTATGCACGGGTGTGTGTGTGTGTGATGGTATGCATGGGTGTGTGTGTGTATGTGATGGTATGCATGGGTGTGTGTGTGATGGTATGCATGGGTGTGTGTGTGTGATGGTATGCACAGGTGTGTGTGTGTGATGGTATGCACGTGTGTGTGTGTGATGGTATGCATGGGTGTGTGTGTGATGGTATGCATGGGTATGTGTGTGTGTGATGGTATGCATGGGTGTGTGTGTGTGTGTGATGGTATGCATGGGTGTGTATGTGATGGTATGCATGGGTGTGTGTGTGTGATGGTATGCATGGGTGTGTATGTGATGGTATGCATGGGTGTGTGTATGTGATAGTATGCATGGGTGTGTGTGTGTGTGATGGTATGCATGGGTATATGTGTGTGTGTGTGATGGTATGCACAGGTGTGTGTGTGTGATGGTATGCATGGGTATATGTGTGTGTGTGATGGTATGCATGGGTGTGTATGTGATGGTATGCATGGGTGTGTGTGTGTGTGATGGTATGCATGGGTGTGTGTGTGTGTGATGGTATGCATGGGTGTGTGTGTGTGTGATGGTATGCATGGGTGTATGTGTGTGTGTGTGATGGTATGCATGGGTGTGTGTGTGTGATTGTATGCACGGGGCTGTATGTGTGTGTCAGGGAAAGAGAAGAGATGGGGATAGCAAGAACTAAAGGGATGGGGAAGCACAGCTGATATTGAGTCACAAACTGAAATCTGCCTTTAGATAGCAACACTGTGTGTGTTTGTGAATTTACTGCCTGTTTATTGACTGGGTAAATAGTCAATATCTGTTTATCAGAGTATCTATTATCAGAAAACTGTTTGTCAGAATATCTATTATCAGAAAACTCCTAAGCCTGTCCGACTCACCCCACCTTCTCCCAGCTTCTCTGCTCCTGGGTTGGTTGTTCTGAGCTTACGACGGTGGGATTAGGTAGCATGAAGGTATTATAGAGAGTTAATTTAAGTCAGGGTGCAAAGATCCTTTCATTTATTGCAACGAGGGTAACTGGACAGCTCACAGGAACAATATTCAGCTCCGTATTCTCAACTTCTGGTGAGTTTAAGCAGCATATAATTAAAGGGTGTTGGAAGGTTGATCTGGCTCTAAAACCAAAAAATGGAAGAAGAGAACATGCTGGACCTATGGGCCTGGGCTGGGGCTGGGCGTGAAAATGGGAAAGAACATGAAGGAGATGCACCCAAACCTTTAATGGTATGTGACAAGCTAATAAGTGAAACTTGATTATGACAAGGTCACTGCAAACCTTGATTACTGAATTCATTTAGAAGGAACCCCAGACTGACCCTCCCTGTGTGTGGCTCCATGGCAAACAGTTTTCTGGGAACGGAGGGATCTGGGGCACGAAACAACCACAGAGCAAACAGTTCTTTACTCTCAGGATGTGCTTGAAGCCCTGGCCCAGGCTCTGGGAGGCTGATGTGAGTGTGAGGGTGAGCGGAAAGCGAGCAGGCAACAAGCATGGGAATGACCACAGAGCAGCGTGGGCGGCTCAGCCTCCTCCCTTTGAGGTTAAAGTGTTTGTTTGTTCCATTCTGCAGCAGGGTACTTGCTGGATTTCTGGGTTTTTTTGTTTTTTTTTTTTTTTATGGCTTTGGTTTGGGTCTTTCTTGGTCTCCATGTTATTGATTCTCTCTGCCCCAGCAGGACCCTGGGTGACATTTGGGGGTCCAACTCTATGGTTAGAGAAAACAGTACTCCTCTCCTCTCTCCCTCCACTCTCTTTCTTAGTCCATCAACACTAGCCTTGTCTGTCTATATCTTTGCTGAGAAAAAGGGAACTGGAAGTCTAGAGTGATAGCAGCAGCAAGAGAGACTGTCTCAAGAACCTTCTGAAGTTGCTGTTCCTTAGCTGGAATTTATGGCGGATCATCCTCTGTAGCTTTATATAGTTGAGCTTTGCTGCCTTGGGTCTAAGTTGACATTTCCTCCACTTCCCTACAAAACTATGCCTTGAGATGTTCCTGTCTATGGCCATACCACCCGGAACGCGCCCAATCTCGTCTGATCTCGGAAACTAAGCAGGATCAGGCCTGGTTAGTACTGGATGGGAGATATTCCTTTGTTGCATCCATTTCTCTCTGCAGAAGAATCCTTTGTCATCTTCAAAAGGGGAAGGCTAACATTGCTTTATAAAGCAGGAAAACATTCTGCCTCACAAAGGAAGGAATTACTTGACACTTTTGGAGGCAAAACTGTGAGACCTTCTCTTATAGCTAAAATCAAGTCTGATACTAGATTTAGGATTATTCAGCTCCAAGATGCCCTTGTCATTTCTAAGAAATCATGGTCAAGGACAAGCTCAGGCTTTGGTGATAGCCGTGAGCAACAGGACTATGCTTCCATGGCAGGAAAGGGTCGTATTTGTGCTGTTCTTCCCAAAGGCTTTGCAGAGAGAACTGGTGGGCAAATCTATGACAGAAACTCTATAGGGATTTGTTGACTGTTCTAGCTACTTACCATAATGCAAATCCTAGGGACCACGAGGATCCAGGGATTAACCCGGTGACTGTTATGTAACTCTTTCTAAGGAGTATCCTTTTATATAATGTATCAAACTTAGAATTAGACATAAACACTACCTAAGCCCAGGGGTATAACTTCCAAATTCTATAAACGTGCAGAAGAAGCCGACAAGACAAAAGGGGAAGTGTAATCAGGAAGTCGAGTGTGATTTTTCAATTCTTTGGGGCTGCTGTTAGCTGTGCCAGAGGAATTCAAGAAAGGCTTCTTAAAACAGAATTTTAAGACCAGAAGTAAGTTAGTAGTTGGGGTATTTGAGGGAAGTAGAGGATTTCCTAGCAAGTGCTAATAACTGTTGCCTCTTTGGTGGGTGGTGAGAGCTCTAGGGAGAAGGGGGTGCCCCAGGAGAAGTGGGTACAGAGTCCCAATGAGCATATGTCATAACTATAGATTTGTTCACATGGCTTTCTTGACTCCCAGAGTGTCTATTGTATACTAACTTTTTTTTTTAGCACTTTGTAGTGGTCACTGTACTTACACTATCTCTTTTAATTTTCCACATTATCCTAAAAGGAAGGTATTATTTGATTCATTTTACAGGTGCAATGAGGCCCACAGAGGGTCATGCAATTTGTACAAGGTCACAAAAAACTGCTCCATAAAACTCAGAACCTACAACAGTGCCTGGCACATAGTAGATGTGCCATATATATTATATTTGTTGAATGAGTGACTAAATTAATGAAGACACTGAATGAATACCCTGAACCCTGGGTCATGAGATCCTGACCCTGTGATTTCTCCGTTAGACCACAGAGCAGGCACTAGCTGCTAGTTTTATGGAGCAGGAATTTGAAACTCATCTATTTGATTATAAAGAGCACACTCTACAATGGGTTACCCCAAAAGGGTAACATGACTGATTAGGATAACCTTAGGCCCTTATATTATAGAACTCTGGATCCAACATAATAGGATCCTAGTTAGGGTTGCCAGATGAAATAGAAGATGCCCAGTTAAATTTAAATTCCAGAGAAACAACAAATGATATTTTAATAAAACTAAACAAATTTTGTTTAGTAAAACAAATTATTATTTTTAAGAAAACGAAAAAACAAGAAAAAAAGGGGAAAAAAGGTTAACTTCAACAAAAAAACAATTGGTGGTTTCCCGAAAATTAAAATTAAACGGGCCCCCTGCCTTTTTTTTTTTTTCCTAAATCTGGTAATCCCAATCTGAATAGGCTTTCCAGATGAGAGAAAAGAAAGTTCATGATATTTTACTACTTTGAAAAAACTGCAGAGTCAAAAATACTTGTTCCAAGAGAAGCCTCCTCTGTGGCTTTGGCAGAGCTGGGATGTGTCAGTCACCGGTGGTCCATCCTGAACAGAATGCTACTTGGGGCTGCCCACCACCAATACCCGTGGTCGCAACCACATTTGGGAGAGGCACAAACCTTGCCTGTTGACCAGGACTAGAGAGGGCCCTCAGCACAAGAATTGAATTCAGTGAGCAGAAAAGCCAGCAGGAAGTTTCCTAAAGCCACTGAGGACTTTGGGAGGTAAAGACCAGCTAGTGCCTGCTCTGTGGTCTAACGGAGAAATCACAGGGTCAGGATCTCATGACCCAGGGTTCAGGGTATTCATTCAGTGTCTTCATTAATTTAGTCACTCATTCAACAAATATAATATATATGGCACATCTACTATGTGCCAGGCACTGTTGTAGGTTCTGAGACAACAGAAATAAATAGAAACTGGAAAGGCAGCCTCATGAAGCATATTGCAGCGGGACAAAGGCCGGATTCGCAGCATGAGCGGGGATCCAGGGACCTGGCTTGGCCCACTGTCCCTGGTACCAGCTCACAGATTAGCCAATGCATTTCTATTGACCAAATTGAGGACTGGAAGGAGAGAATGAACATAGTAATTGGGGAAAAGAAAATAAGGAAAAAATATCTTGGAGGAAAGGATAATGACTTAAACTTTATTTTCAAGGAAATAAAAAAAAAGTTATAAGACTTGAGGGATGAGCAATGTGGCAGGAAAAGAGAGCAATGGCTAGCTTGTGCCAGAGACTGTCGTGGGGGATTGCTGCTAAGAACCTTAGCATAAATCAGTGCTAATGGGTGGAAGGAGGATTCCTGTGCGAACAAAGCTCCCAGGCACCAGATTATAGAACGGGTTGGCACAAGGTAAGATGTTAAAGCTATTTGGAAGTTCTTTGGGGCTTCTCAGAATCTTCTTTCTGAACATGTTGTCAATTGTTGTACAAGAAAAGGAGAAAAAAACCACCAATGTCATCCTAAAGCTTAGCACATTTATTTTTAAAATTTATCTTGTCAGTAATATTCTTTGATTTGCATTTGAAGAGTGGCAACATACATTTCTGTAGCCAAAATAAAGTCTGGAATTCCCATACTGGATAGGTCCATGATTCAGATAAAAGAAAATGTTGAAGATTTGTGAGAAACATGTGGCTACACAACCTTATGTGGAGTCGAAACACAAACTTATCACTTAATCTCCCTGTGTTAACTTCTGTGTGTGTGTGTGTGTGTGGATATGTTGAATATATTCAGGGGTGTTGGTGCCCCTAGTTCAGTGCTCCTCCTACCCAGACAACTACATTGTCACCTTCCAGAATTAAGACAAAAATCTCTGCATCATGAGAAGATTAAACAAAAGAAGGACTCTACAGGAACAGTGCCAATTTAAAAATGCTCAACAAACATTTAGAGTCAGGTTACTTTGTAGCTGGATGGAAGACTATGTAAAGCTTACAGAATCTATATATGATCTGAAAAACAGGAAATATCATTGAGTTCGTTTTTCCATCCTTATGAATGGCAACACTGGTGATCACAGCGGGGACGTTCACCATCATGATAAAGTCACCTAGAACGCTAGTGGCAGATATATTGGAACAACAGATCTACCTAGATTTTACAGTTTGCACCCCACTACTTTGAATGCCTCCATCGATTTATACCATATTTTCTTAAAGATCCCTGTCCCTTCAAAAGATGATAATTTCTCCACCTTTGTGTCAACATAAAATACTGAGCTTCTCTATCAAAGTACTTTTCTTCCCCAGTCTACCCTAAAGATCTAATAATAACCAATGCTCCCTGTGACTTGAAGGGTCTTCTTTTTCTCTCTCCTTGTCTAAGGAGCCTGAAAGGGGAACATCAGCCACCCAAGGACTGTCAAGATGAGTGACAGCACTACTTTGGTTCCTCCAGCTTCAAACCAGGGTCCTACCACCCCACGCAAAGGTCCCCCCAAGTTTAAGCAGAGGCAGACTCGCCAGTTCAAGAGTAAACCTCCCAAGAAAGGTGTGAAAGGGTAAGATCAAAATGAAAAAGAAAACTTTCTATTGTTTTTTTCCACACAAGGCTGTTTTGGTTTTGAGACATTGATGCTCACAATATTAAACAGACTTACAAAAATTTCAACCTGATCCTCTATTTTCCTTTCTAACTTAACCTTTGCTGGAGTGTGCCTTTAGTCCTGGAATTTTTTCCCTCTCACCTCCCAGGTCTACGGTCAAATTTAATATGGCAAATGGTGGCTTTTATGATAACCATTGACTTGGCCTTCCAGACTTTTCTTGACCAGTCCTCTTTACTGGCATTCCTTATGTTTTAATCTGGGATACTAAATCACTGGCCATTTCCATAAAACAGTTTATTTTTATGGCTTCAAATTTTATGTCCTTAGTTCTTCATTTTTTTCTTCCTCTCCTTGGCAAAATCCTATTCATTTTTTAACACACAACTTAATTTCTTTTTGAAGCCACTACTGATTTTCTTTAACAAGCTTTATTATTACCTTCATACTTGCATTTTGTATATTTAGCTATCATAACTTACTTTATATTATGTCTATCTATTTACATCCATTCCCTGAGACTAAGACCACCCAGAGAGAATTTGTTTCTTTTTTTCTTAACGCTCAGTGCCTAACACAATGCCTGGTATGTAGTAGATGCTTAGTTAATGCTGTTGACTAAATAAACAAATGGATGAATTAATCATTTTAATGCCTTTCATATCGCTTTCTCATTTCAATTTTTATGTTAAAAAGTGAAGCTTGAATAAATTTTCCCACTGATAATTCCAATTCTGGCTTTCAATTGTCTTAGGCTAAGTTCCTATGGGGGAGAAATATCTCTCCCCTGGGATACACTAAAACCTAATTAAGTGACTTTTTATTTGCTCCAGATCAATGCAAACAAATGGAGTTTCTCAAATACAAACATTTAAACCTTTTATTTTTCCCCTTTAAATCAAGAAACTCTTTATGTAACTCTAGGATCCTTTCGCTCTGATTTCAGCTAATTTCTCTTTTATTATTTATTTTTTTTCCATAGGTTTGGAGATGACATTCCAGGCATGGAGGGGCTAGGAACAGGTGAGCCACTCACAGATTTAAGTGAAACTTTGCACTAGGGGTTCCACCTTTTTATACACTTCATGCCTCAAGGCATACTTGAAAGTTATAAGAAATACCTACGGCAGAAGATCCTTTGAAGCCATAAAAATGTGGGGATTTAATTTAGCCTCCTAAGTACATGTGTTGCCCAGATGCAAAAAACCCTAAAAGATATCAGAATAGGCCAAAGTTTAACGAATCCTCTTGTTTTGTTAAACAACCTTTAAGGGCATATAATAAGGAATTATAGACTTTTATGGCAAAAAAAATTCCCAGAGTTTGTCTAGCCCAACTTTACTTTTTCAGGAGAGAAATCTGAGATATAGAGTAATTGACAATCTGAAGCCACTGAGTTAGCTACTGGAAATAAAGGTGGGGTCTGGAGATCTCTCCACTCTACCACTCCCTTACTAGCTTCCTCTATTTACACATTCTCCTGCACCCAGAACAGGGTCCTATAGACATGAAATGCTTGCAATATAATTTTTTTAATCGACTGCAATATTTTTATTTATCAGGTAATGAATGCAATTACTGGACATTGTTTTTTTAAAACATAATAGACTTTATTTCTTAGAGCAGTTTAAGATTTACAGGAAAATTAAGCAGAAAGTACAGAGAGTTCCTGTAAATCCTCCTTACTACCTCCTTCCACTAGTACATAGTTTCCTTTACTTATGAACATCTTGCATTAGTGTAGTTCATATGCTGCATCTGATGAGCCAATATCGATATATTATTATTCTTTTAACTAAAATTGATAGCTTACATTAGGGTTAATTCCGTGTTGTACAGTTCTAAGGGTTTTGATAAATGCATGCATATATCTGCCGTTATAGTGTCACACAGAATAGTTTCACTGCCCTAAAAGATGCCCTGTGCTCCACATGGCTGTATTTCCCTCCCCCCAAAACCATGTCAGCCACTAATCTTTTTACTGTCTCTATAGTTTTATCTTTTCTTGAATGCCATATAGTTAGAATCATATGGTATAAAGCTTCTTTCACTTAACAATATCTATTTTTCTCCATGTCTTTATGTGGCTTGATAGCTCATTTCTTTTTATTGTTGAACAATACTCCACTGTAGGGTTGTACCACAGTTTGTTTATCCCATCGAGGGATATCTGGTTGGTTGCTTCCACATTTTGGCAATAATGAGTAAAGCTGTTATAAATACTTGTGTGCAGGCTTTTGTGTAGACTTAAGTTTTCAACTCATTCAACATACTTTTGATAAATGATGGCATTCATAGCAATCAGTGTCTTTACCAACCAGTCCTCAATGTATCTGCTTTGTGCAGTCAAATGCCACTCCTGGGATCTCAAATAAGTTTTCTAGCCATCTTACAAAGCTCATTTGCCATTCTCCTAGATCAGCTACTTCTGTATTTTGGGCAGGTGCGTACAAGACTAGCAAATTAGCTTTAGGCTCTGGAAGATATACTTGACTCTGCCAGCATATTTGGAGTAATGTCAAGAGGTTTAGACTGAGGGGACATCTGAGGTCTTTGACCTGGTTCTAGTCCCATCTCTATAAACTGTGTGATTATTTTGCTGGCTGTTTCATCTCTCTGGGTGTTATCCAACTTCTCTGGTACTCTAGGGTAATAACATCTTATTGTTCAAAAGTAAGGGGCTAGATCAGATAATGCCTTGAGATCACTTGCCAATAAGCAATTGGAAAAGGAACCGAAGAGCAAACACAGAATCCCAAGGAATCCATCTGGATTGGCAAGGAATCCCTCTGGAGGAAGGAGACTGTAGATAACCCTACCAGGGGAATTTAAAGCACTGCTATTTCTCATTTTAACCCTTGGCCGTACTGGAATGCCACTTCTGTTCCCTCCTCAGTGATTGTGCTTTGGGCAAACTCAGTGAGCTGTACCCCACAGGGAGCCCCCAGTCAAAAACTGAGAGTTGCCTCCCCAAAGAGGATGCAGAATGAAACCAAGGGAGATGCCTGGAGGGCAGCAATTAAGCAATGGTCTGATTCTTGCTGGGCCACAGGGCCATTCCAGATAACTGCCCAGTCTGGACAATGAGCAGCAGAGAGGCGTGAGAAGTCTGTCTTTGTGAGCAGAGGAGCCTATCCTTAGGGTGAGGTTGGCTTACATGTTCTTCTGTGTCTTGCAGACATCACGGTGATTTGTCCCTGGGAGGCGTTCAGCCACCTGGAATTGCACGAGCTCGCTCAGTTTGGGATTATCTGAGACACCAGAAATTCTGCCACTCTCAACAGCATCTGCTGTAACTTTGATTACTTTTGTCCTAACGATCTGCCAGAGTTTTGAAATTCTGCTGTTTGGAAGTGGTTTCTTTGGCTTACAAGGTCATTTACCATCAGTTACTACTGAGAGTTCTCTTAGTATCAATCTCTCCTACAGCATAGCTCAGCTCAGAATAGCGGATGAAAATGTTTTGTCAGAGCATTTCAAACTTTATCACTTTTTCCTATTAGCTGCTTAGAAGTTCAGCAGTATTTCTCTACATTTCATTTATGTGTAAGTCCTTCAAATCTGTTTTTGCTAGGCATTCATTATGATTAGAAGACTTCTAAGATAACATTTATTTCACTCCCCTTCCTTTTTATTTAATAAAGGAGATATTTACCTTGAATCTTATGGTGACGTTGTGTTAAATGCTATATGCAAAAATCTGATACCCTATTCTGAGAACCAGTTAAACAAAGCAGGCACCGCCATAAGGGAAATAAGCACAGTGCATGCATAAGACCACAGGATTGAGATCCAAGTTCTAATTCTGTTTGCAAATTTGTAACTTGTGCAGTTTCTGGGTCTACGTTTTATTAAACTTCATTTCAGTTTTTCCCAGAGCTCCTATGAAGCTCTAAATTGTACCATTCTAAGTTGGTGGAAAACTGGACATTTCAACTCAGAATTCTGACAAGGTGGCTGTTAGGGTGGAAAGTCTAGTAGGTGCTCTTGGCATGGGGAGAGTTTCTCATGCAGACATTAGAATACATAAAAGTAAAAAAAGTTTACTTTATCTTTTTAGAAGAAGAGAGAGAAAGAATGGGAAAGAGGAAAGAGAGGGTGGGGAGGGAGTTGGAGTGGCATCCCAAAGAAAGAAAAGGGGGTCCAGCCCTGAGGCCAGTGCTTGCTGATTTTAAGGGGGATGAAGAGGGGAAAAAGTAGTGATGGCTGTCAGTTGAGAACAAAAGCAGCAGCAGGGTGTCGAAGTCCAAGAGTTGGTTTCCCCACCTTTCCTTGGAGCAGGGATTATTGGGGTTATCGCAGGAGACGTGACTCTGCCCTCGAGATGTGGTTGAGGCTGTAGCTTGTTCTCCTGCTGTTTACTGGTGAACTCTGTAAAAATAGATTCGTGAAAAACAATTTTAAAGGAAAAGACTTACACCTCTTTTCCATCCATTCAGCTGTTTTCGGAAGTTGTGCAAAACCGAACTCCCGCCAGCTGCCTGTTAGCGGGAGAGCTCGTAGGATTGATCTTTAACTGTTACTAGGAAATTGCGGGAGTAGGTATTTTCCTGTCACTTTTGCAAGGCCACCCCTTGCAGTGGCCTTTTGCATGCTCTGGTTCAGGAAGGTTTCCCTTCACAGCACCCCCTGAATGAAATTATTCTGTCCAATGGCTTAGATGGGAGTCACAGGTTATTTCTACACACATTGACTGGCTTTGTGGACATCTATAGTAAATCGCCTTTAAACTGTCCATGGAAAAGATTTATGTGCTGTAAAGGTTTAGATTCAGGTATCAAGGATAGGTAGTTGAACCCTCTCAATAAAATGATGGTTTGCCCCACCCCTGAAGTTGTGTCAAATGTAATGTGCTCACCGCTGTCTTTTCCCAATACTTTCGAGGCAATTGCACAATTCAAATGCTGCCTCTATCTGCTTGGATGCTTTGCTACTCACAGCATGACTTTCTTCATTTCAGTTTTGTAATCTGTGGTAAAAGAATGGAGTAAATTAACGGAAAAGAGAAGCAGGATGATAGAGAAGAAAGGCATTCGAGTTCTAGTCCTGTCTCCACTAGTAAATTGTTCTGTAATTTTGGACAAAGATCCCACCATTTGCACCCTCCAGCGTGCCTGAGTTAGATGACCTAAGGTTCCTGGTGGTGATAAACTCTGTGACTTTGAGATCCTCAGAGTCTCAAGTGTGAGAATTGGAGGAGCTCAGCACTTGAGAGAATTTCTGTTGTCACAGGCTCTGTGTTAACTATTGCACAAATAATCAGGTTACCTTCTGGACAGAAAACTAGAAGTACAAAAGAAAAGTAAGGTATACATTGAAAAGTGGAGGCATAACATGCAGGAAGGCACAGTGGGAAGGTGTGCTTCCTCCTCTAGCAGGAACTCCTGCCTTCACCCATGCACCTGTTTTCCCTCCTGCCAAAGGAACCCAGACCCTTGAGCCAGCGGTTCCATTCAACAGCAGGTGCCTTCAGCCACCACTGTTCATCCTAGGTGACAGTCAGAGAGGTCTGGCTTCTTCTCCAGTGGAGCAAGACGCTGGTCCACATTCAGCTTGCTTTGCAAATGTTTCTCTAAACACGAAACAGTAATGTCGACGACCCAGAATGCTCTCAAGGGAACATATCTGATGGCCAGGGTGGAGAAGGATCTGGAAACCATCTACATGAAGAATTGTTGAAGGAACTGATAATATTTATCTGAGAGGGGAAAGTGATCACTGCCAGAAAATATTTGAAAAGTTGTAATGGTGAAACGAGACCTCCTCAGGGTCCAGCACTTAGTGGTAAGCTGGAGTAGGTCAAATTTAAAGCCCATTCAAATGCTAGAATCGTATTATTTCTATTCCTAAATTCTAATTCTATCATTTGTATTAAAATGGTATTATGAAAGAGGTCTACTTCGTCTCGCTTCATCATTACAACTTTTCAAATATTTTCTTTAATAAGAAATAAGAATCCCCTTAATATAGAAACAAAATATATGAAACAGCTAAATTGTCATCCCAGTCAGAGTCTTAGAAGCAAAGAAATGACACACTCAAACAAATTCATCGAGGAAAGTTTATCAAAGGAACTATTTACAAAGGCTTGGAGAGAGGGGAAAGCTACAGAGGCTGGTACAGTAACCTGGGGCTGGTGACAACATGGAAGCCATTGCCACACCCGGGCCTGAAGGGACACCAAAAGATCAGCTTTAACTCTAAGAGAGGGCCCCATAACAAGGTGAAGGGACATAGTAGAGGGACACAGCCAACCCACAGTGATACTGTAAGTAACCAGGAAGGACAGGGTTGGGGAGAGAGATGAAGTTAATAAATACACCAACGTTGTTCTTCTCCCATTCTTGCAATAGCTAAACCCAACCGGAAGTCTGAGAGCAAAGGTTCTCGTTGACACAGCCAGTAGGTGGAGAGGGGAGGAGAGCAGATGTAAAGCAGGAAAGGAGAAACATCCAGCACAGCTGTCGCATCGAAGAACAGATACTATCTGTCAGTCAGCGATTTTTAGTAGAAGTTGGGAAATAGCACACAAACGTATTAAATCTCCAGAAGTGATTCTGATGCAAAACAGTGGAGTGGAGGAAGGGCTACATTATGTAGGAAAAACACAATAGACCACAGAGAACAATACCAGAAGTAATTTATTATAAAATTTTAGGGTTTGGAGAATTTTTAACAGCCTTCAGACACTTTTCTGATAACAAGAGCCATTGAGAATCTCTTGTTAAAAGCACACAAAATTTGGCTCCCACTCCAGATTTTCTGCATAAGAATCTCCAAAGGAGAGATCTTGGAGTCTATATTTTTAATAAGGTGATTCCTACATTTATGCCAGTTTAAAAACACTGATGTGGTCTGAGCCGACATTTTACACATTAGGAATGAGCTAATTTCTTATTTATTTATTTCATCATATTATGGAGGTATAAATATTGTTAGTGTTACAAATATTGCTCCTGCCCCTTCCATCCCCCAAAAATGTCCAATCCTCTGGTGGTGTGCATCACACACGTTATGGAAACATGCATCCCTTTCCTCCTCTCCACTCCTGCCTGCCCACCACCTGCTAGAAAGTTTTTGTTTGTTTGTTTGTTTGTTTTAAACATTTTGGTTACATTGTATATCTTTGCCTCTCCCTAAGAAGGGTTAGAGTTATGCCCTCCCCCTCCAGAATGCTCATCCCATCCCTAAGATTGGGTCCCCCCCCCCCAAATCTCTGGTGGGTATTGCCACCATTTGAAAATCGAAGTTTAAATCAGTCAGTACCAATTTGATGGCGAGTAGATGTGGGGTCCATTTTCCATGTCTTGTGTCGCCTCACTTTGGATAAGAGGCTTAAATGCGGAGAGACAGGAACACTCCTACACTGCTGGTGGGACTGCAAATTAGTGCAACCTTTGTGGAAAAGAATTTGAAGATACCTCAAACAGCTAGAAATAGAAATACCATTTGACCCTGCAATAGCATTGTTAGGGATCTACCCAAAAGAGCATAAGACATTCTATTATAAAGACATCTGCACACGAATGTTTATAGCAGCACAATTCACTATTGAACGGTCATGGAAACAACCCAAGTGCCCATCAATTCATGAGTGGATAATTAAAATGTGGTATATGCTCACAATGGAATATTACTCAATCCTAAGAAATGACAGTGAGCTAGCACCGCTTATGCTATCCTGGATTAAGGAATGAGCTAATTTCTTAACTAGTTACAACCCAGTGACCAATTTAACCTGTTCTGCTTATCTCCAGTAACACATGTGGGATGTGTGAAAGAGGGGTTAACATTCCTGCTGGCTCTCACTGTTTTGTTGGCTGATAAAACAGGCACTCACCGCTCCAGACCTAACCCAGGTAGTGCTTCTCCAATGGCAGAGAATGGCAGAGAGCTCAGGAGGTGCGTGTTGGACTGGAGCAATTGCAAGAACGTAGGGCCGAACAAGCACCTGACTGCCATCGCCTCACACAGCCAACGTCCCTCCGTAGCCTGGGTCACTCTCTGACCTCTGCTGCCTTCTGACTGGAGTAGGGGGCGAGCAGGTGTGGGGAGAGGCAGGTGGAGGCAGCGACTTCCTTATCCTCCACCCATTTCCTGTTTGTTCCAACTTCGGGTAGAAGGTGAGATAGATGGTAGTGGCAATGCACGCACTGATCCCCATTCTCAGTAGACTTCAGTTGCACGACAGCCAGGCAGAAAAGAGTGTGTAGGGAGAAACCACTTCTCCTCCTTGAGTCCCACCCTAGGCGTGATGCTCAGTGGTTCACACAACTGCCACTGTGCAGTCGAACTCTACTGTGAGAAAAGCAAGAATTGCCACAACCTGAGGGAAAGAGGGAGAGTATTTTTTCAACAAAAAGGAAGTGGAGGGAAAACACACAGAGAGGAATAATCAGTCAGACCAATACTTAGGACAAGAGAAGAAAATGATCATCAGGTAAGATTGAACACCATAAAAACTAATATGATGAGAACTAAGCAAATGTGACATTGAATTGTTTCAAAGGGAGAAACAGGACTTAGGTTTTATAAAAGGCTACAAGGGAAGGCTCATACAGGCCACAAACATTGTGTGCATGGATAAAAAGAAAATAAAAATCTCAGGACCGC